TAATAGAGCCATCCACTCCAAACTAGTCCCTTATTTTCTAAGCCTGTGAAAATCAGATCCAATCTAATCTGAATAAGTGATTCAATTCAGAAACTTAATTTGCTTGGATTGCATATTCAAATCAATTGGAATGAAATCAGACCAGTTAAATTTGATTCAACCAAATTCAGACTTTAACGCTGGGGGGGAGGGGGAAGGGGTTGTGCACAAATCCACACTCCTACACACATGGTAGTTAAATCAGAACCGATTCAATGGGATCAGACCAAAGATGCAGGAGATTTGATCGAATACAATGAATATCTGGATTGAATATTCACTCAGATTTCCTATTTATCCTATGCCCAGATATGCTCTGTAGATTACTGAACTTTCTATCTCATGGGTGGAAGTATCCCAAAACAACCACTCCTAGAATTCCTACAAAAGTTTCCATCACATTGTAATTTTCAGTGTCAAGGAAGAGGAGAATATATAAGAAGTAATTATCTACATTTCTTTAGATTATGCTGGTTGCCTTTAAAATAAATCAGAACACTTAGAATTTTTGGTTTCATCTATTATGTCTCCATGTTCACTTTTTTTTTTTTTTTTTGGAACATGTCTATAGCACACTAAACGTCAAAATATCCTTTGACCCTCAAAAAGTGGTTTGGAAAAGTTATCTTAAAAATCCATTTAATTGTTATAGTTTTAATTGGTTTGTCCATGAGACCATTTGGTCTTTCAACGAGACCATTTGCTTTTTCAATTCAAGTACCATTCAAATAAAAGGCTCTCAACATTGTTGCCGATGAGAAGTAAATTAGAAACGTACATGCAAAGCAGTGCTTGATATTTATTGTCCTGTGTTGAGAACATCTCGAATTCAGTGCCAAAGTACACCGGGATTGCCTCTATCAGCTTTACAACCAACAGATATTCATTTATTTATTTCATGGGACTTAATTTCTGTATAGCTGCAGTCTCAGATTCTTCCCTTTCCCAGGAATGACCAACAATTTATTTGAGGGAAAGGACTCAAGATTTAAACAGTCAGATTCATAAATACATGAGCAAGAGAGGTACTGATACAACTTCCCCAGGCAATTAATTGTTTAACAATTAACTGATTAATTGTTCTCATTGTCAGGAAATTTCTCCTTGATTTTAGGTTGGAACTCCGTTTGATAAGCTTCCATTTATTATTTTTTGTCTTGTCTTCAGGTGCTTTAAAGAATAGGTTGGTCCCCTCTTCTGTGGGACATGTATCAGGGGTGGGCTACCACAAGTTCTCCCCAGTTTGGGTGAACTGGTAGCTAATTTTATCATTTTTAATTACCGGTTCGGCGAACTGGTAAATCCCACCCTTGGCTGGCTCTGTCCAGCCACCCTTCCTTCCCCAAGAGTCCTCATGCAGCCATTTTGAATGCCAGGTAAGTATAGGGCCCATGAAAAGGCTTGGGGAGGGCAAAAAACAGGCCTCCCGGAACTTCGGGAAGGCCAGAAACAGGCCTCTGGATGCTTGGGAGGCCATTTTTGCCTCCGGAGCCTGGGGAGAGCCAAAATGGCCCCCACCATGGTGCAAGAGGCTGAATAGGCCACGCCCACCATGGCCACACCCACCCAGCAACCGGTCATAGAACCGGTTGCTGGAATTTTTGAAGCCCACCCCTGACATGTATAAGCGTATGTGGCAGTTAAATTTCATTCCTTGAAAATGAACCCATCATTACCCCTCCCAGAAGTCAGAAGTTGTAGGTATTGTGGTGGAATGAAGTCAGGAGTTGTAGGAGGGAAGGAGTCTTTCCCAGACAGCAAAGAGAACAGAGCATCTGGGAATGTCTGGTAGGCAGGAAGAGAGCAAAGTCGGACCTTCCCTAACAATTCACACAATGCATCTAGCAGTTATGCAGAAGCTGCTTTAGTCTGGCAAGATTCTATTAATAGACAAAGTACAACATTAAAATACTCAGAGAGTATTTCCACTTCTCGTTCTTGGTTCTTTGGCCCTGAGATGTATTCTAAAATAGGAAGGATGAATGAATTCAAACCCAAAGATTTGGTCCTGGAGAACAAAGGAAGATGTAACAGTAACATTAGCTCATTTTTAAAAAATAGTTTATACATTACAACGTTAAAAGAGATTCATGGATTTTACCAAGGTTCATCGTCTCCGTTCTCAGCCTTAATTCCATTCAAAAATTACCACAAATCACACCTCTGTGAATGAATGGTTTGTCTCTGAAGGGGGCACCATCTGAGTGGTGCTCGAAGTTGTGCATTTGTCCCAGGGAGAATCACATATGCACAAGAATGGAAAGACACATCAATTCCCACAATGGAAGAATGGATGGAAAAAGTGATGGGGTTAGCAGAGATGGCAAAGGAGACTCTTCATTAAAGAGAAGAACAGTTTCCACCAGAAACTGCTTCTGGATTTTATGCTCAAAACAGAAAAAAAACAAGCCCTGAAACTTGGATTTTAGGTTTTGATCATTAGATTAACTTTGTGGTTATAAAAATGGTTTGCACCTGCTAAGAAATGCAAAGCAAAAAACTGACACTAACTAAACTAACTTTATTTTGTATTCTACTGCACTAAAAAAAGTCAGAAATCACTAATTCTTTTCTTTTTCTTTCTATACTCTTGCACTCTTTCTTTCCCCCTTTTCTTTCCCCTTTCTATTTTGACTATTGTTTGTATTTTATATCATAATAAACTCTAATAAAATTCAAAAAAGTTTCCTCTATCTGCCATGGGATCCCTACCTGGGCAGCACAGTGAGCCCTTTGTTGGATTGATACACTTGATTGTTCACATCAAATATGATTTAACATAACATCTCTGGAACTGTGTCATTTGACCATTCATACCAAGTGTGACTTAATACTGCTAGAACTGTGTCATTTGACCATTCATACCAAGTGTGACTTAACACAATATCATTGGAACATTATCATTTATCTGTTCATACAAAATATGACTTAACACAATGACATTGGAACTATATTATTTGACCATTTATAACATGTATGACTTAACACAAAATCGCTGGAACTGCAGCACAACTGTTCATATCAAATATGACTTAGCATAACATCATTGGAACTTTGGTACTTGATTATTCATACCAAATATGACTTAGCACAGCAACATTGGAACTGTATTATTTGACCGTTCATATCAAGTATGACTTAATACAACACCAGTGAAACTGTGTCATTTGATCTTTCATACCAAGTATAACTTAACACAACATCTTGAAACTGTCATTTGACCATTCGTATCAAGTATAACTTGACACAAGATCCCAAATTTGTCGGGGTGGTAGTAAGAGAAGATCAAACCCTGATGGGGACTATAATTCAACCCAAACCAGCATCAGATAGCTCATAGCCTGATTTAGAGAAGCTCTCTGCCTTTCCTTCTCAGAACACCACACGTAAAAACAAAATGGTGGTCCACAGGCATTGTTGTGGGGAAAGAGAAGGAAAGACACATTGGAATAAACAGTTGATGTCAAAGAAATGGGATGTTTGTGCTTAAAAGCAAAGCAACCTGAAACAGTACACTGTCCTCATCATTTCCACACCGCTCCCCTCCCCTCCCCTGTATCTCTTTGCAAACCACGGTAACAGCTGTGTTTCTCCATGGCAATAAAATGGAACAATTTAATAGCCTTTATTGTTCTGCTGTGATGTTTGAGCATAGCCATTTTCTTCCCTCTGAGGAGTCCATAGCCCCACAAGGGCAGGAATGAGACAAGATCTCATTTACCTAAAAGCGCTTATAAATTTTTAATTTGCTTTAACAACTAAATTAACAAGTCCCTCATTCAGGCAAGTTTTATGGCCTCTTGCCACTTGGGGAGGACCATAAAAGTTTTATAGATAATCCAGAGCTACCAAGGCTGCTCATAATAAATTGTCTGTTTCCTGTTATTTTATCAAACCACTGGGTTCCTTAATGGCTTAAAGTCACAGCTTCTTGGTTCCTAGGCTTTTTTTATAGGCCCATATTTATAAACTGTAGAGAATATCTAAAATTATATCAGGCCCCTGCTCCATCCTTCCAAAGATAGCTTTTCAAAAAATATCAGAACTAATATTTTTTCCTCCTTCATGCCAAACCTACACAAATTCTGATATTATCTTACATTATTGTAAGAATGATAGACAAGGCAGTAAGCCAATGAGAAATTATTTCTGAAGGTGAGTTACACCTTCTTAGCTTGAGGTTCTTTCAATTTGAGATTCTTTCATTTTTCCCAAATGCCCCATCAAACCTATACAAAATGTCAGGCCCTGCTTGGTAATTCTTTCAATATGGATGTGTCTTTTCCTCCTTTTTTGTCAGTAGAAGGTACTTCTTCTGTCATAAACAGATAAACTAAAACATTTTGGTATTGTGGTGCAAATGGTCATCAGCCAAGGCCATGGCCATCAATTTAAATGATTTTAGCAAGAGACAATTACTGGAAGGCCAATGGTAGCTAGATTTGATGGCTGAATACTATCTTCTGAATCACAGACTGCATGTCATGAATAGGAGCCAATATGTTTTTGTGAATCATACAAGTAGTTCTTAATTTAAGACCTCAACTGGGACTGGAATTTCTCTTATAAGTTGGTGCGGTCATAAAGTCAGTGATTACATGACCAGACCTGATTTTATTATCATTGTTACTGTGGCCATTAAACAAATCGTGTGGTCATTAAGTGAATTGCAAACTAGTTAAGTGAATCCAGCTTCCCAAATTGACTTTGCTTTCTTGGAAGCCAACTGGGAAGGTTGCGAATCATGATAACAAAACCTCAAGATGCTGCAACTGTCATAAATGTAAGCAGGTTGCCAAGTGCCCAAATTGCAATCACAGTAGTGTGACAACTTTGAGAATGAGTCAGAAGTCACTGGTCACAAATGGTCATAAGGTGAGGACTACCTGTACTATGATGCATTACAATATAATTATATAATCTCACTGAGAAATTGTGGAAGCTGTAGGTCTAAAACATTTAGAGATGGAGAACTATGGCCCTTTTATGACTTGTGTACTTCAACTCCCAGAATTCCTGAGCCGGCTTTGCTCCGCAGACCAGAGGGGGTATTCGGCAGGTTCTGACCAGTTCTGGTTGTTCGATCTCTTCTTAAAAACTTCCAGTGCTGGAGCGCCCACAACTTCTGGAGGCAAGTTGTTCCACTGATTAATTGTTGTAACTGTCAGCAAATTTCTTCTTACTTCTAAGTTGCTTCTCTCCTTGATTAATTTCCATCCATCCCATCCATTGATTAGAGCATCACAATAACAGAAGCAGAATTAATGTTACTGTTGGGTAATTCTCTGGTAATGCAGTCTGTAGGGGAAACCAAAGGTAACCTGGCAGCATTCTAAATTTACCTCCTTGTCTCACATTTCTATTTTTCTTTTAACCAGAAGGGCAACACCATTTCCCTCTTGATTTCCCCAAAGGGTTAAAACATTTGCAACATCAAACAGAAAAAACAAAAAACACTGCAGGGCATTTTCTAGAAACCCACTAGGCTGTGAGCTGGCTTCTTAAGTGCAACCAAGGGAGAGGACTTATATACTGGCTCCAGAGCGCTCGCTTAAGGGAAGTTAGTGGAGATGCTATTGGAAAACAGCCATCGTTTCTCTAAGCTACTGCTGCATCTCATTTCGCTTAAGAACTAGTAACAAGGTGGGCAAAGTTCCAAGCAAAGAAAAAAGAAACTTGAAAAACTAAACCTGAATTGTGCATTTTCTCCCAACTGCGTTAACCTCCAAGTGTTGGCAAAAGAGTAAATTCTGGTTTTCAACCATGGGCTTTTTCCAATGCAATTTAATACATTTGACAATGAAACTGCTGGAATGTAGGTTCTTCGAAAAACCAAGCAAAGGGAGAAGGTTGTTTAAAAAAGAGATTGCAGTGGGTGGAACAATAAGAGATGGAAAGTTCTGATCTGCTGGGTCTCTAAACACTGGAGGAATAACAGTGGTTGCCATGGGGTTAGGAGAGTGTTAAAGAAGCCAGGAGACTGTGAGTTCTAGTCCCACCTTAGCTATGAAAGCCAGCTGAGTGACTTTGAGCCAATCACCAGGAGACAGTGAGCTCTAGTCCCACCTTAGCCATGAAAGCCAGCTAGGTAACCTTGGAATAGTCACTGTCTCTCAGCCCAAGTCTCCCCAAAGGGTTGTTGTTGTGGGGAAAATAGAAACAATTATGAGATATGTATGCCACCTTTAATTGCTTATAAATATAGCGAAGTTGGGATTTAAACAAACTAACAAACCAATAAATAGAGGCAAACCAAAGGACAGCCTTTTCTAACTGTGCAACATTAGTAACCCTAGCTGATGGCCCCTAACTCATAGTTTGAAATGGGAGATTGTACAGATTTACAAATAATCCACTTGTTATTAGTTAGTAGTGGTGAAAATTTCTGGAGACTGCAGATTCAGGTGGGATTTAGTTGTTTATTTGAAAATCAGATTTATAGGCCACCCAGCTCCTACAACTCTGGGCAATTTACAAGATAAATAACAATCCAAACAAAAGAAGATGATAACCTGGAGAATAACAAGCCAAACACCTTAACAAACTTTCCCAGAGTGGCACACAGTTCCTAACCTAGCATCTGGGGAGTGAGAAGGGAAGGGCAGGTTGTCAAGTTTGTTTAAAGAATGGTAGAGTTTAGGGCATCTTGAATATTCAGAGGGATGCTATTCCAGAAGATAGACACTGCAACAAACATGGTATACTGCTAAAGTCACCTTACATGGCATAGTTTTCAAGGGCAGATATATAGTGCATTGTGATCATCCATGCAAGAGGTAACTGAGTGGCCATGAGAAGAGATTCACTGTTCAGGAGAGGCTGTAATTGGTTCACCAGATGAATTCGAGCAAAGGCCTCCAGGAAACAGTTGCCCTTGTCCTTCAAGCAAGAGCTGTGAGTTCACAAGCATCTACCAAGTTCCCTCTGTAGGACTGCTACCGCATTTAGAACTAAAGATGGGAAGTCCTCGGAATTAGGAGAACCCCAAAACACACAGCTGCTACTTGGTTGGCCTGGAGTCAAGAGGTTAAACAAGTGAGAGCTTTAAGACCCGTTGGCTCCCCAAAAGTCAGAAGTCTCAGTCCCTCCCACCCCAAGTCAACAGGAATTGGAATTGGCCACCAAGAAAAGAGAACTGTGCTTCCATCTATTGAGTTTGAAAAAAAAAAGAAACTGGGATGTTTCTCTGGTGAGGCTGGTCTATCAGGGCAACCTGATCTACCCAAATATGGGATGGAGCATACTGCTTCCACTTTTGCCTTTCAGCCCCAATCCAGGAGCTTTTGCAGGCAGTTGCTTTTGTGACAAACTGTTTTTGCGTTAAATTTATATTTAATGACAAAGAAATAAAGGGAGACTAGTATCGATCTACAGTATTTAAAGCTATTTAGCTCTTGTCAGAAAGGCGAAAGCAGAAGCAGTATACTCCGTCCCATATTTGGGTAGACCAGGGTGCTCTGATAGACTGGTCTCACAGGAAAAACACTTAATCTCTCCCCTGGTGCAGCCAACAAGGCCAGGGGAGCCCATGGCTTAGAGCTTAATATATCTACCTAATATGTAAGTAGCCCAGGTTTGAATCCCAGAAGAGTAAGGCTAGCTGACAAGAGCTAAATAGCTTGAAATAGATCGATACTAGTCTCCCTTTATTTCTTTGTCATTAAATATAAATTTAACAATCCTATAAAATGGTTTTTGCAGGATACAATGATTTAATCAAAACTACAAAAGCAATATCATTCATTCATTCATTCATTCATTCATTCATTATCTGTATAGTCATTCATTCATTCAATTTCTATAGCTGCCAAATTCAACCAAGTGACTCTGCAGTCATGCCATTGCAATGAAAATTATATCTCTTTTGTACATGTGTATGACATCATGGCACATATAAACAAGGCATTACATCAGTGCAACAGTGTTTTCATCATTTGACCCCAATCTATAGATGTCTCTGGCCATTGTGGAAGCTGGCCATTCCATTGCTGTTATGCTGGGCATAACTATCACAAAATATCAGTTGAACAGAACTATCCACCATACCACAGTTCATTGTTTCTCAACCTTGGCAGTTTTAAGATGTGAGGATTTCAACAACCAGAATTCCCCACTCAGAATTCAGGGAGTTGAGGTTCACATATCTTAAAGTTGCCAAGGTTGAGAAATACTGTGATAGATGATCTCTATCATTCAAGTTTATCTTTTTTTTTTTTTTTTGAGGAGCAAGAGGCCACAGATTGCAGACATCTACCATTTCTGTTTTCTAAAATTACCTTTAAAATAAACACAGGATAATAAAGGTTGACACTTGCCTTTGCCATGTATCAACTCTCAATTTATTTATCCCTTTTTAATTGAAATATTTAAATAGTCAAATGCTAGTAAAACAGAGAGAGAGAGAATGTCCATGGCCTATATCAGATCATTCACTGATTCACTCATTCATTCATTTAGTAAAGCTGTATTACTATTATTCTTCTCATCTTTCTTATTACCTGCCTCCTTTTCTACTTATGACTATATCTTTGTTGTTTGTATCTTTACGATTTATATTGTTTTATATAGTTTCCTAGTAGGATTTATGTTGATGGCTTACTATCACTAAGTGTTGTATCTTATGAATTATGATGAATGCATTTTTATGATGACTATGATCATAATTGATCACTTATAGCTTTTATGTACATTGAGAGCTTATGCACCAAAGACAAATTCCTTGTGTGTCCAGTCACACTTGGCCAATATTCTATTCTATTCTATTCTATTCTATTCTATTCTATTCTATTCTATTCTATTCTATTCTATTCTATTCTATTCTATT